AATACCATACTGTGCCACGCTTACTTCTGCACTGCTGCCCTCAGAGCTGGGCAGCTGGAGCGTGGCAGCTGCTTGCCGAGGGCCCAGCTCTGCAGGCAACAGTACAGACCTAAGGGTGGCGATACTATGCCATGCCATCCTTACTTCTGCGCTGCTGCTGGTGGTGGCTTTGCCTTCAGAACTGGGCTCCTGGCCAGCAGTTGCTGTTCTCCAGCTGCCCAGCTCTGAAAGCAGAGCCAGCAGCAGCACAAAAGTAAGGGTAGCAGTACCACAACCTCCCTACAATAACCTTGCTCACCCCCCCCCCAACCCCTACAATTATAACACTGTGAACTTTCAGATTTAAATAGCTGAAAATCCTGAAATTTACAATTTTAAAAATCCTATGACCGTGAAATTGATCAAAATGAACCATGAATTTGGCAGGGCTCTATGCATAAAGATCTGTTCTGTTATGCCTCCCGATCAGTAGGTATGTGCCACTGGGGGAGACAGTGAGTCACTCTGCACTGCTGTGCCAACAGCTACATGCGATTTCATCAGACCCAGATACTATGGTCACTCAGCTTTCCCTGTGTGTGGCCAAGACTAGGGCTTGATTAAGAGCTGGCTGGGTAAGTCTTGAACTGTATAAAATAGAGCTGATGTTGGTGGCTGAGCAAATACTCAGAAGAGAAAGAAAGAGCATTTATTGGTCCCTTTGATTCAGAGGATATCATTTTCTTTTGTTGAAAAGGAGCAGTAACCAGCGGTTCTATTCCATTCCAGCTTGTTCCTGGTTGGCCAGAAAGCAGCTGCAAACAAAAATGCTCCTTATGATCTGTGTCTGCCAACAGGGCTGGATTAACTTTGTGGGCCTGGCGCCAAACATATTTGTGGGCCCCCATGGGGCAAGGTGCAGGGGCGACGGGATGGTCAGTCTCCAGAGTGAAGAGCGGGCTGGGGGCAATGAGGCACAGTGCGGTGGGAGTAGCCCTGCTCTGCGCAGCCTGCAGCTGCCAGACGCACACTGGCCTGCCCAGCCCTGTGCTACCAGCATGCCCAGTGCCCCACCCTTATGCCCAAATTTTATTTGTCAATAAATAAATGTGGAGGCTCCAACATGGCAGTGGGGAGCACAGGCTGCTGGTTGCATGGAGGTGGGAGATTACCTTGCAGCCTCCCCCACCCCCACAGTGTTGACACAATGCAAGGGCCAGGCCTGCCCCAGAAACACCCAGGGGCCCTGCCCACCTGTGTGCCACCCTGTGTAGATGAGCAGGCTCAGCCCGGCAGCAGGATCCAAGTGCAGAGAGACTTAGTGTGGGGGGATCCAGGTGGGGGTAAGAGAGGTCTCTGTGGGGCAGTCTGGGTGCGGGTGGCTCAGTGGGAGATCTGGATGCACAGAAGCTCATTGGGGGGTTCCAGGTGCAGGGGCAATGGGACTGTGCAGGGAATCCAGCTGAAGGTGTTTGGGGCTCAGCATAGGTGGGGGTCTAGGTGCAGGGGTGGTGGGGTTCATTTGGGTGGGGGTCCAGGTGCAGGTGGTTGGGGCTCAGTGGAGAGAGTGTCTGGGGGGGCTCATCGGGGAGGTACAGCTGCAGGGGAGGTGGGGCTTGTCAAGGTGAGGGTTCGATGGGCCTGCTTAACAGGGGAGCCCCAGCTTCTACCAAGGGGATGCCGCATGCTGGGCTACAGCTTCCCCGATCCCCTTCTCTTCCCCATCCCACACCCCTTCCACACCGCTCCATCTCCTCCTCATCCCACCCCCTTCCTTCCTCACTGCCTCTTTCCCCCTGCCCCCTTCTCTTCCCCATCCCATACCCTTTCCCCATTGCTCCATCTCCTCCTCAGGCTTGGGGGGCAGAGGGGAAACTGCCCCCCAACATGAGCCGGAGGAGCAGAGCGGGTTGGGGCCGGATTGCTCCACATTCTGCCGTCCGGTGATTGCAGAGCAGACCTGACCCCCCCACACTCATGGGGCGGCAGGAAGTGGAGTGACCCGGCCCCAGCCCACTCCACTCTGCTCCCCTGGCTCCCGGTTTTGGAGGGCAGGGGGGTACCTCCCCCCAGCACTCACCAGCAGCGCGGAGCCGGTTGGGGCCAGGTTGCTCCACTTCCCGCTGTGCGGTAAGTGCAGGGCAGGCCTGACCCCTGCTGCAGACCCCTGGGATGTAGCTCAGGGGAAGGGGTGGAGGTGGGGTGGGGGCAGAGCAGGGGCGGGGGCTTTGGGGAAGGGGTGGAGCGGGGGCGGGGGCAGCTTTCCTGGCCGGCTCTGCCAGCTGGGGGATGGGGCTGGCTGGGGCTCCTTCTGATTGTGGGCCTGGCGCCATGGTAAACCCGGTACTGTCTGCCAAGTGAGAATATTGTCTCCTTTCCTCTTGGATTTGAACACTGTACCAGACATCCATGCTTTGGAACCTCCAGATTGGATTACTCTGATGTAATGTATTCAGGCCTGCCCTGGAAGACCACTCAAAAACTTCACCTCACATGGAATGCAGGTGCCCACATCTTTAACAATGTTTCATGCATACAGTACATTATGCCAGGAGTGTATTGACTGCATTAGTTTCCAGTATATTTCAGGGATCAGTTCAAGGTAATAATTTTAGCCTACAAAGCGCTTTAAGGTTTTGATCAAGGTAACCTTGAAGATTGCATCCCTCTGCATGGTCTTGATCAACTGTTAAGCTCAGCAGAGATTTTCAAGCTGACATTTCCTAGATTTGTACATTAAATGGGTGAGGTTAGACTGGTGGAGGGCCCATGGTTCTAGAATTCACTTCCCCACGGTGTGAGACAAACTAAACTTGATTAGTTTTAAGGCATGTTTAAAAGGCAGTATATTTAGTCAGGGTTTTTCTGAGTGGGTACTTTAGGGATAGGCAAGAGTTGGAGGTTAAGAGAGTTATTTCAGCCTTGGTGATGTTTCACTAGAACTGACTGTTGGTATGTGTTTTTGAAGTTGTTATATAGTGTGCCTGGAGAATACCCGTCTGATCCTGCTCGCTCCCATTGAAGTCAATGGGAGGTTTGCCATTGACTCCAATGGCAGTAGGACCAGGCACTATGACAGGTGCACAATATAACAATAAATGAGGCAGGCCGTGTTAGAACAGAGAACTAGGTACCAAGACTCTTCTATTCTGTTCCAGACCTTTCCACTGAGTTCCTCTGTGGCCTTAGGCTAACTGAGTCACACAGAGGCTGAATTGTCTATCTGTAAAATGTGTTTGATACTTAGCTCGCTCAATGGATTTTGGATCAGGGTCAGAGAGGTTTGTAAAACATTTTGAGATCCTTTGGTGGAGAGCTCTATATAATTAACCAGTGTACTTATAGGTGATATGTTATTTTTCCTTTGTGAAAGAAATTTGATCATATGTTTTTCTTATTCCCTTATCCATTATTTTAAAATTTTAGAATAAATGAACATTTGGCTTGAAATGTAACAACAACTTAGCTCTGGCTGGGGAAAAAAAACATGAATGTCATAGGTAAATCTTCTGCTGTTTATTACCTATGTAATGGCAGGAGTATTAATAGTTTCATCATTTAAATTCTTAGGTACATTGAACTAATGTATCAACAACCTTTACATCACTGTATGAGACAGACAATGCCTTAGTCACTGCTGAAACTTTTGTGATTAATGTTGAATGGGAGATTATGACTAGAGCATACAAGATTTTTTTAAAAACTATTTGGTGGGTGAGCATTCTGCATATGGCATAAAGCTAAGCACAGTAAATGATGCAAGTCTAAAACAGCTTTCATATTTCTACAGAAATGATTACTGAATTTCAGTGCAAACATTGATTTTACAACATCTCACACTCTGTTTAAATTCTCATCATTTCTTAAGTCCAATTTTTTTCCCAACGCCAGACATGGCTTCTGATGCTTGTCCAGTTGTTTTTTCTACACCATCTTGAACAGTCTTGCAAGCCTGATCAATAGCTGAGAAAGATAAAGAGGCAGCTAACATAAAAGCAAAGTCAATACATTCAAATGTATGTTGTTTCATATTTATCGTGGAATGGGGAAGTGAGAAACTGACTCAAGTATCCATATTGTTGTTACACCAAACTGTGTACTTAATCATTACACCATATGATTCATGTTCACTACACCAGATACCAGCTGCTTACATTTCCTAAAGACGAGTTTCTCTCTGCTAGTGCAGGTTGGGGTGGTGGTGGTGGGATATATTAAGTGTTGGTACACAGGTTGGGTGCTGCTGGGCAGGTGCCTGTGGGTTTTGGGAACTATTAGGTGGGATAATAGGGCATGCTGGTTGGGGATACTGGTGCTGGAACTGATGGATGTTGGGGGGCTGCTGGTTAAGAATGGTGGAGGTGCTGTCTGGATGAGTGGGTGGATGCTACTTTGTGGGATGATAGGTATTTTAGTGGCTACTGGAGGTATGGGTGGATGTTGGGTACTGATGAAAGGGAGAGTGGTATTGGTCAGTGGGGTAAGAAATGTAGGGAGGTGCTTCCTCCTGGCCCCTCCCTTCCCTAGCTTGCATAAGTTCAGGAAATCACTGTTTAGTTATGCAGGGAGCTGCACGTCGAGAGAGGCCGCAGGAACAAAATTGCTGGTTTCTCACTATTTTTAAGCAGAGAATGTTGTGGATAGTGAGGGGAAGCGGGAGGAATGGGAAGCTGTAGTAGAGCTGGAATGGCAGGGAAGGGGATGGCAGCAGCAAGAAGGAGTGGAGCTTCTCCTGGTGTCCCTTTAGCTCTCTTGCCTGGGTCCTAGCAGCTGCCATATTTTGGCAATTTTGCTACAACCCCACTCCCTGGTGACCTTCCTTGGTGTCACAATCACCAGTATGAGAGGCCCTGTTCTAGAGGGAGAGAACATGATATTACCATTAGCTTCTGGTTTTCAAATAAGTGCACATGTAGACTCCAAAGTTGCTAATTCTTCCATCATTCTTAGAAACTGATTTAGTGACCTTTTTGTTTTTCGCTCTGGCAATTCTCATCACCAGAAAGGAAACAAAATACTCCCCTCACAACAGGCATAGGGCTGCCAGCACCATTTAATAATTGACATCATTGCTGGCTCTGCAGCTCCTTGAGCTGCCACGTATTGGAGCTGGGCTTGGGATCATTACGGCCTCCTGCCTTTAGAGCTGGAGAAATCAAGATACACCACATGCTTACTTAGCCTCTAGGAAAGATGGACAAAGTTTTGACTACACTACTGCCAGAACCCTCACTGTGATCAATGATGAACTTTGAACACAATGCTAAATGTACTGTGTGAGCTATAGAAATAGAGAATCAATGGGAATAGTAGTGAATCTGCTAGTAAATACGCAAAGAGACAAGGTGGAAGAGGTGATATCTTCTATTGAACCAACTTCTGCTGGTGAGAGAGACAAGCTTTCGAACTTACACAGAGCTCTTCTTCAGGTCTCTCTCACCAACAGTAGTTGGTCCAATAAAAGATAATACCTCTCCCACCTTGTCTCTTTAATATCCCGGGACTGACACGGCTACAACAAGAGTAAATACATATACAAATCCTGAAATCCTTACCCACATTTTAGTAAATCCTTTTGTAAGGTCAAACTCTCACTAAAATCAATGGGAGTTTTGCTCGAGAAAGCACCAAGTAAAAACTGAGTAAGAACATTAGGATTTGGCCCTGGGTTCATTGTACTCTTTTTTTTTTTTTTTTTAAAGATGGCTATGTCTTTTGCTAGCTTTCCCTTCATGCCCAGTTCTGCCCTCATTGAATGTAATATAATTTCTCATACCTTTCTGACCCGCATCTGTAGCCTGGTTCACTACGTGCTGTGCAGACTTTCCCAGTGCATTTGCTGTAATTAAGAAAAACAATGCATTTAACCTGTTAAAGATTATGTTCTCCTCTTCTCTCTTCCCATACTCTCCACATCACAGCCCATGAAGTGCTTATGACCATTGGCTCTGCTGCATGTTTAACAGGCTGTAGACCATGGTGGGAGTATATCAGAAGATTATTAATAGAGAATAGGTTGAGGCTATGCAGATTGCTGATGGGTATCTGTATGAGGTATATAAGCTGGCTGGCATGCTGCCAGTGAAGTGTGCTATGCGATTATATAGCAACAACAGTGTTCTGGGCATGTTAGTGATAGATAAGACGACAAAATGTAGGAAGAGAGAGAGAATGATGTGATTAGCAGTGGCGTTTAGCTGCACATTGCTAATTCCATGATGCTGGTTTTTTATTTATGTATTTACATTTCTTGTTTTGAAGATGTTTTGTCATCTGGGTTGTTAACATTTCCTCAAAGGGTAAAATAGTCTTTGCAGACTTTTTGGAAGGAGTGTGGTTTCAGGAAGGAAAGAAGGATGGAGACATGACAGGCCAGTGAAGGGAAAGGGGTATGTTTACAAGGAACAGCTAGAGAAACAAGAGGTAAAAATATAATGGATCAACTGCAGAACACCAAACAATAATGAGAAATTATGTGGGAACGTCCCTCTAAAAGCCATTTCACATCAAAGATATAAGCAGTTTATGAAAGCACAGTCTCACTTTCCCAGCATCTGGGTGACTATCTGTGACCTGCCTTATCAATGACAAGAATTTTCTGAAAATATGTGGCATTTAGAAACATAGCTAGGTACATTTTGTTTTATAAACCTTATGTTACAGGAGTGCATATACCACATTGAGAAGAGCTCATAAGGCTAGCATTAAACATTAACATTAAATGACATTTACTTCCTAATCTCTTCTGAACTGAACATCTATACATACAGCAATAGAAATCTCCAGCTGAAGTGCCCTGCATCTCTGTTTGATCCACACTGATTTGGAGTTAAATTGTATTGGAAAATTCTGGTCAGCGTATCATGATTAAGGCTACGTTTTAGTCCTGGGTATTTTTAGTAAAAGTCATGGACAGGTCATGGGCAGTAAACAAATATTCACAGCCCGTGACCTGTCCATGACTTTTACTATATATCCCTGACTAAAACTTGGGGGGGGCGGGCTCGGTAGGGATGGCCCAGGGGCCCACCATCGGTGCTTGGGGGGGTAACCTGGGAGGGCGCCGCGAGTGTTTGGGGGCGCCGCAGGTGCTTTTTGGGGGGAAGTGTTGTGGCCCGGGAGGCACCACGGGTGCTCGGGAGGCCGGGGGGGAGGAGGGTTGGCAGGAACGGGGCAGGTTTCCTACCCGACTCCTGGGAAATGGTGACCTCCAGCTCCTAGCTCCATGTGCTGCCTCCACGCCACCTCAAGCCCCAGTTCTGCAGCTCCCATTGGTGCCTACGGGTGGAGGCAGCACGTGGAGCTAGGAGCTGAGGGAGGGGAGTTCCTGTCGCCCTCCTGGGGAGACCCCCCCGCCCCAGGTAATCCAGTGTTCAGTCATCTGCATATTTGGCTTAACACAGAGAGATGGAGTAAGGAAAGAAGGATGAGAGTAAATGCAAGAGAAGGTGTTTAACCCTGAAGGACAACTTCAGTTTATATACTCTGTTTCTGTACCTGTTTTCAAGCCATAAAAGGAGTATCAAATATATTAAGAAAGAAACTGAGCATCACAGCCTGGATTCTAGAATGAATTTGGAAGTAATATTTGAACAATGGCTTAAACTGATGCTGTTTAACTGGATTGCTAGCAACTGAGCAGTTAAAGAGGTTGGGGTACGTTAATTTTACACATTTTTGAGTGTGGTTGGAGCAGCATCTGAAGTGAGATATTCAAAATCAGCATCTCTGGAAACTGGACTCCCCAAGTATGGAAATATAAAACCTGTAGATACCAAAATAAACTAGGTTTTGTTTGTATATTAAAATTTGTCCCCAGCTGTGCAAACGCTTACAGATATGCTTAACTTTAAGCACAAGAATAATTCCTTTATAGTCAGTAGGATTACTCACATGCTTAAGATACACACGTAAGTATTTGCAGGATTAGAGCCTTGGATTATATCCAGCAGTGCTGTCGCTACCTGCTGAAGATCTGCTCTTGGCTAAGGAGGTCATGTGACCTCATGACAAACTGTAGAAGCTTCAGCAGAGGGTAAATAAATCTACAGCAAACATATTTTAAGGGGTATAGTAAGCCATATATAGAGTGGATATATTAATTTACAAAGAAAATTGTTGTATGTTAAGTTGAAATATAAACCTCTGATGCACAATAATAGTCATAATATAGTTATAGTTATTGCAATACATCAAACATCCCCTATGATAAAAAGTATAAAGGTTTTTGTTTAAAGCCAGAGAAATCTGAAAGCTCATAGTAGAGAGTAAAACCAAAGTATTATATTATATTTATTATAATTAGTCTATATTTTTAGTCAGTATAAATACTAAAATTGATTTCTGCAAAGCATTGTTATTCACTCCAGGTTGCAAACATACCCACCACAGGTTAAATCTAATTTCTTCAACAGAGGTCAGTTTAGAGAGCAGTGTATGAAAAAGGTTACACTGCTCATAGGCAGTAACCATTTAAAAAAAACCTAAAACAAACATTGAAGTATTTGTAATGGTTCAGAATAAAAAGTAATTAGTTGCTTGCAAAATATGAAGTTTTAAAATAAGTTGTTATTCAACAGGCATAAAGACTGAACCATCTTCTTTGAACCCTATCCTGCAGTAAATTCCATCCCGGTGAGGGGGGCTGTCCACATGGAGCTCATTCCAGGGTCGGGTTCTTAATCCTGAAGGTGGTGTTCTCCAAATCATGGCTAAGGCTCTTTAACAGGGAATCTTGTCTAACTAGAGTCCATGGCTCTGATTCTGTGTTCGCTGAAGTCAGTGGCAAAACCATTGCTTCAGTGCGACAGGACCAAACCCTACATTCCAGTTATTTTGTCTGTGAACAGAAGACACTAGTCTCCCATACTGTCAGTATGAGTCTTCTTGTGAGCAGTAAAATCAGTATTTTTTTCCCTTTAGAAATAGTAAAAAATCAGCCTCAAATAATAATGGACATTGATTGGCTAATCCCATCTATAAAGTGATTGGATTCTCACTGTACTATCAAATAAAACACCAAAATATTATGTTGTTTTTGACATTATGAGATTGACAAAATTACAAAACCAGCCTCAGGACAAACAAAAATAGATCCAGGCCCATATTCTGCTCTCATTTACACCAGTTTAAATCCAAAGTAATTCTACTGAAGTCAGTGGAGTAACTCTAGATTTAGACTGGTGTAAGTGAGAGCAGAAACTAGCCCTTGATTTTTTCAGAACAACAAACAGAGAAATTATATTTAATGTTTCTTACCAGCATCCTGGACCTCCCCTTCTGCGTGTTGTTTAAAACCCTGGAAGCCCTTACCAGACATGGTTACTTTTAAAAGCTTTTAAAATCTTCTGCTTCAGTTTAAAAAAGCAAAGCAATTTGCTATACGCTATGCCAGGGTTGCTCTAACTTGTGCTGATTTTATACATGTGCCAAGGCTCCTCCAGATGCCCACTGGGCAAATTGTTTCAATGGGTGGAGCTGCTGGAAGGCTTAGAGTTTGAGTTTAATGAATGAGAGCTGACAGTGTGCAGTGAAATTGTGAATTATTTATTTTTCCCAAAGAGAGGGTGTATCCATCTAGGGTTTTTGCAACAGAGGAATTAATTCTTTCATCACCTTTGTTTTTTTATAAACATTTCTAAACAAAAAAATTGAACTTTCTCAGCAAAACATAAAAGTGCAATGGAAGGACACTGAAAATTACTGAAGTAAGCTTTAGAATGGATTTTTGGAAGGCTAGGTTTTTATTCCAATGGGTCTCTTTTTTTCCCCTTATTTTCTTTTTTTCTTTCATGCTGTAGGTGCTGTGGTTAACTTCTACCTGTTGGTAGTAGGCTAAAAACAGAAAGAAAATGTCCTTATAAGTGATGTTACAGTTTGAAGCACTTTGTTACCTTAGCCCCATATTTGGCTGTTATAAATCCCGTGGAATATTCTTACAAGATGAGAGTTCTAATGGACATAGGCCCTAAAGTGAACCTAACAATCTGGTTGTGTGTCTAGTTGGATTTCAAAGGTAGAGTTTGTGTCTCCCAAATATCCTCCAGATGCCTGTGGTTCTTTGAGTGCTGGTCCCTATGTGTATTCCACTGCGGATGTGAGTGTATGCTCCATACTCCTAGAATCGGAGAATTCTTACAAGCAGCATCCATTGGTCCACACGTGTCTCCTTGCCTTTCTTGTGCTTCCAACGAAGGTATAAAGGGTGGAATGAACTGACTGCTTCTCCGGTTCCTTCTTACTGCCAGGTGGCCTGGGTTAGAACCTCCAGTGTCCAGAGCTTTCCTTCGATTTCTTCAATCTGTAAATATTTCAAAGTTTGCCTTGGTGCCTTTTGTATATAGTTCTGTATAGTTAGTAAGTTTTTAATAGTTTTATAATTTTTACTAGAGTTTTCTAGTTAGGTAGATTCCCAGCCTTGGGGAAACACCTCACCCCCGTACCTCTATAGGTTTTGGACTATGCCCAGAACTCCAGGCTTCAAAAAACTGTGTTTCCTGCTCTTTCTCGGTCAGTGACAACCCCCATAACAGTTTATACTGTCTCAAGGAGGCACATGTTGTGGCTAGGTGTAATATCTGCCACTCTTTCCCTGGCCATACCCATGGGTATGGTTAAGATTTTGTCACAGTTATTTTTAGTAAAAGTCACTGACAGATTGCAGACAATCAACAAAAATTAATGGGAGCTGTTACGTGTTCATGACTTTTACTAAAAATAACGGGGGAGAAAAGGCTGGGGAGGGAGGAATGACAGCTGGAGCCCGATGGTGGGGACTGACAGTCCCAGCCCCACCACCAATGCAGGGGAGCACAACCCTGGCTCCAGCCCCTGCTTCAGCCACAGGACGGGGAAGACACACAGCCCAGGCTTCAGCCCTGGCCAAAGTCACAGGGCAGGGGTAAGCAGCAGTGGCTCTGGCACCAGCCAAAGCCACGGGGGCACACAGCCCCAGCTCCGACTGCAGGGGAATCCATACCCAAAGACCTCCCATCAGGAAGGCTGAGAATGCTCGCACAAGCAGAAGAGCAAGTCTTCCCTTGAAGTCTGCATCTGAAGCAACCCTGCCTAAATCAAGCAAATCTGATCATTCAACCCTGTGATGGGGCAGCTGCCCCACACCCGGAGAGTGTGGGCTGCAGCAGGCCCGGGTGCCTGCACATCCTGGCAGCCAATAAGAGAAGGGCTTGTTGCGAGCCAATCAGAGGCCAGATTGGGGACAGCCAATCAGGGCCAAGCTCAGCCATATAAAAGACTGCTCAGGGAGAGAGCAGTCAGTCTGTCCCAGGCCTTCAGAGGGGAAGGTCTGTCTGTCTCCAGAGCTGGGAGGCCAGTACCATGGACAGCGCAGTGCAGGCCAGCCTTGGAGAGCCGGAGAAGGTCCTACTCCGTAGCCTGCCGGGCGGCAGGCCTTGAAGGAAAGGGCCTAGCGGAAAGAAGGGCCGTTGGGGAAGCAGTCCAGAGGAACAGACAGAGGAGGAAGGAGAAGGAGGACAGCAAGGCTGTTGCTAGAGGGCCTCTGGACCAGGACTCAGAGTAGTGGGTGGGCCTGGGTCTCCCCCCCCCCCTTTGTTCCCCTTGGCAGTACTCCCAGCCATAGGCAGTAGGGAGCGGCCAGCCGAAACTACACCAGATCCTGGACTGTAGGGATCGGACTTGGAGGTGTAGGACTGTGGGTCACCCTGCCCCTGGAAGGGGGTGTAAATGGACAAAGGGACACTGTCGGAGGACAGTGTTCCAGAAGAGGACACTGTGCGTTGGGAGCAACGCGGGTCCACATGCCAACCAAAGGCGAGACAACAGACGGGACGCCACCAGAAAGGGGCGCTCTACTGGGTCGAACCAATTCCCCAAGATGACCAGTAGGAGGCGCTGCGGTGGTAAGTCCCTACATTGTCACAAACCCCTAAAGGTTTAGTATGTCCTAAATCCCATGGCCACAACTCTTAAGTCCATAAATCCAGGGTTCTACCGGTACCAGACCCCATACCAGCGACACCCACTCCACTGGTAACATACAAGTCAAAAAGTGGAGATCCATTGGTTCTGGCACAATCTGAGCTTTTACTGCCAGTGGTACAATCACTGTCTCATACTCTGGCACATGGAACACTCTTCCTACTCCTGCCCCATCAGCACAAAAAGATCAGACCCCTTGCACTCCAGGAAGGTCAAAGACTAATAGTGCACCAGAGGCAGGGCCGGCTCTAGGCACCAGCAAAACAAGCTGGTGCTTG